TACATTCACGTCTATTCCATGTACACAATACCATGCTTCAAGACAGCCTGATGCCCTTCAGCAATTAAAATAGTGCCCATGATATAGTACTTATAAACAGCATGGAATTTAAATATACTTGATGCCTTTAGAAGGAAAATAAAACATATCTAAACTTGCTTATTTATATTAGTTCTCTTTTCTTATTTGTTCCTACCAAATTCTTATGTTCCTAACAATTGCCTTAGTGTTTTCCTCAATTGTACTCCCACATACCCACTTTTCTCAGAAACTTCCATGTATATTTAATGCCTGTATCTTGTAATTTCTTGAAAAGGACAAAGACAGAAGTCCATTCAAGGCCGTAAGACTGCTTTTTCTCCTAAGAAACTGTCAGCCAAATTTCTCAGGGAGGAACTGGAAATGAAGTGAGAGACATTGATAAATTTCCCTGCTGAACAATCAATAAAAGCCCCACCATCCTGTTCAGACTCCCACTGTGGAAGCAAGGGCCGTAATTACATTGTCAAAAATTCAAGTTGCCCAGGCTGACAGCGGCCCCCTTGAAAAGTGACAGGTGATTGGCACTGGGATTGGGGTAGTGAACCTGGATTGGCAGACGGAGTGGGAAAAGAAAAAGGCAAGAGTGAAATTTCCTTATCGACTACAGCCACCCAACCCTAAGACTGCCACTTGGGAGGAATCCTGAGACCCTTTTTGTCACGTTACCAGAGGGAGCAGGTGACAGAATTGACTAAGCAATCTGAACCCCATCAGAGATTTGGAATAGCCCTCAATCCACTCCCAAACCCCAAGAAAGATGGCTGTGTGTGTGTGTGTGTGTGTGTGTGTGTGTGTGTGTGTGTGTGTATGAGCGTGTGAGGGTTTTCCTACATTAAAAGAAAAACATGCAACGGGCTTTCAACTCCATCTTTCCTCATGACAGCTGAACAGCAAAACCTGTTTGCTTAGCGATATGAAACCACGATAAAAATCAGCTGGAGCAGAAGGGTTCCAGGGGCAGCAATGAAGAATGAGATAGGAGACAGAAGGTGGGAAAGCACTAACGTGCCGGCCATTTGTGTGATTCTCTGGGACCAGAGCTGGAGTTAAATTAGTACCCATCAGTC